CCGATATTGTGTTGTAAATACTATGGTAGTAATACATGACTCACTTTACAAATTGTACCGATCTAGGTATTTGTAGTGAGAATTACAATTTTCACACGTTATCGTAAATGTAAATAATGTCTTATGAGTATGTTGTTATTGTCTATTTTCGTGTAAACATCTATTGTAACACTATCACAGTTACTTGTCAATAGCATGGGTTATGGAATACTGAAACAAATATCTTTTTGCCGTTGGTTAATAACATCATAACATAACGCCTTTTAACCCCGAAGGGGTAGGCAGATTTACACGTTACAGTACCTACTTAATGCCACTATACGTCGCACCCACTTTTCACTATTTATGTTATGAGTCCCATGTAATAGAGGGTGAGCCTATTGCCGTATACTGAATATACCAGACTCCGTGCCACAATTGAGGTTTTTAAAAAAAAAACCTAGTAATACTTTGCTCGACCCGGGAATCGAACCCTAGATTGCTTGTCCGGCAGTCGCACTTGCGACCACTCTGCCAACGAGGCAGTCTAGTTGGTTAAATATTAATAAAAAAGCCTCCTTTTATAACACTTGGTTCATTTTCATTAATTTGATCTTGTTGTCAATTTAATTATTGTTCATATTTTAAAGAAATTCTATTAAAAACCATTGGGCATAGTTCTAAACACCAGGTTGCTGTAGATTCAGTTCGCTTAATCTTAATTGTGCTTTGTAAAAGAGAAACATTTTACTGAGACGGCCTCGTTGGCCGAGTGGTCGGGCAAGAGGTCTCGAGTTCGATTCCCGAGTCGGGCAAAGTATTACTTGGTTTTTAAAAATCTCAATAGTAGCACGGAGTCTGGAAATGTGTCTGGTATATGGCTATAGGCTCACACTCGATTTACATGGGACTCATAACTAAATAGTGAAAAGTGGGTGCACCTCAGCCTACCCCTTCGGGAATAAAAGGCGTGATGTTATGTTATGTAAACATTTTAACTTTTCTCTTTTAAAGAGTATCGATTGGGTTCCTTGCTCGTTCTTCTCCATTAGAAATTACACTTTATGAGCGCCTAGCCTCACTAACAGGCAGACGGACTGACAATTCAATTCTTGACGTTGCAAAAGTGCCTAATTAAGAATTAATTGAAATAAATGTTTTGACTTTGACTATGAATTTGCTCAATATATTCTTTCTAAACGTAGACATAAGTAGACATCAATTGTTAATATTTAGGGCTACTCAAGTGTTACATTCAGTATTAATATAAAATATCAGGAATCAAACAGCTGTCTCAGATCTTAACTTAGCATTAGTCTTTTTCTTTTTATCAATAGAACTTAACTACAATGATTAAGGCACATATTTTTTTTTAACCCATAAACAATAGCTTTCTATAAAAGAAGGGGGTAAGGAGGCCTTCGCGTTGCTGTGGGACGACCATGGCTAAAAATAAAAGAAAGACTTAAATTTCGAAAGAATCCGTCTCCAAGACTTGAATCAACTAAACTCACTTCGAAACCTACCAACGGCAAGTACCAATTTGTATTTTTCAGAGTAATATGTATGTACCTTCTAAGTTTATCTAGACACCACTGACAAACAGTGAAGGAAAACATCGTGAGGAAATCTGGGCTTATAATTTCTAATTTTAATTTGTAATCGCCAACACGCATTGAGCAAGCGTGGTGCTTAATACACAAATCTTCTCCGTGTGAGAAGAGGTCTGTGGTCAGCAGTGTCCACTTAATTATTGGCTGTTGATGAACAGATAGGCTACGACTTTTTATGCCATGGGAACGAGAGTAAAGCTAGTTCCCATATAATCTTCAAATTACACATCATCAGAATTGTAATTTCTAATTTAAAATTTGAAATCGCGAACCCGCATTGAGCAAGCGTGGTGATTAATGCTCAAACCTTATGCATGCGAGAAGAGGCTTTACTCAGCAGTGGGCACATATAGGCTGTTGATTATGAAACTCACTGTTCGTCAAATCGAACCTAAACTTTTACAACCAAACTTATGCACGCTCTCCATCCCCCTTCAAATGATGAAGCGAAGATATTTGCAAACTTTGATAAAACTAGCAAGACATACATACAAAAACGAATCTTGTGCAACAAAGTTTACGGTATGAATTGCACTGTGATGTAAGTTGTAATCTTGTAAGACCACGTGGTTTCCTTGAAGTTATTTTCTTCTATCGATGTTTCTGGTTGATATAATATTTGATGATGAGAGAAATATCTTTATATTTACGTTATTTATGAAGATTGTGTACATTTTGCCTGTTGGAAGGCATATGGAAGAAGTTTTCCAATAGGAGAATGTATAGTGAAGGGTAGCCTGAATTAGATGCATATTTCCAGTAAAATATGATTGTTGGTTGTTAGAAGGGACTGAGGGAAATTGTATTGGGCTGACCTCTAATATTAATTGGGTTTGAGAACGTACGAGTGTGCTTTAGGAAGAAAAAATTCAACTTTATATCTCTAATTGCCATTCTCTAAATCAGTTTATTGATAGATACTGCAAGGTGAGCGTGATTCATGAATAAAGATATAAATTATGTCAAAGTAAAAAGTCAAAACATTTATTTCAATTAAACCATAGTTTGGTACTTTCAAATTCAAATTCAAATTCAAATCACTTTAATGCATCTTTAGAAATAAACGTCATCATCACTTTTGAAAGTCAACAAATACAAAATAATTAATAATAGTCTGTCAGTCAGTCCATCAGTGAAACTAGGTGAAGATAGGTGCTCATTCCAAAATGTATGCTTAAGTATCATCAAATACAGTAAGTTATATTGTTAAATTGTGGTGGTACTGTCTAGATTGCACTCGTACAGTCAAACATTTATCTAAAACTAGACGACCCGACAAATTCCGTACTGCTTAAAATTTTTTTCTTTCCTTTTTAACCTTACCTGGACTTTCACAAACATTTCAAGACCAAAATTAGCTAAATCGGTTAAGCCGTTCTCGAGTTTTAGTGAGACTAACGAACAAAAATTCTTTTTAATTTATACAGAGTGAAATTAAGTAATGTCACCTGAAGGGGAAGTACTCTTTATACTTTAGATAGAAAATTTAATTCAAAGAAAATATTCCTTTACTTTTGAAAAGAAAGAAAACTGCATTCCAAGATTTAGAAATTAGCTTGCCGCACATTGTAATCGAACCGACATAACATCTGTAAAAGTTGCACCTTGTACTTTTATTGCATCGATCGTTAGGGTCAATAAGAATGAAACTCCTAAACAAACTTCATAAATTTAATGAAAGGAAAACAATGAAATGTTTTAAAAATCTTTAAATACAATATTGTCTCTTTTCAAAAATAAAGGAATGTTTTCTTTGAGCTAATTTTTCTATCTAAATTATTAATAGTATTCCCTTCAGTTGGCATTACAAAATTCCACCCTGTATAGATAGATATTTAAAGAAGTAAATACATTGTAGACAAAACGTAACACACGCAATCTTTGAAACTAAGAAAAGCTGCTGAATCAATGGTTCAATTCACTTCAAGAAACATATTTCGTGATTTACCCATTCTAGAACATTCCTGACCTAGAATCCACAAGAGATTATAACCACACATAATATTTAAAAAGACCTAAGACCTAAGACTTCGACAGACGGTTCCCAGACACAATACCTAAATAATTCTGGATAGTTCCCAAAGCCCAGTTTTTGTCAAAAAACGGTCCAATTAACATGACAATAGATAGTTTTTGGTACAAAAAACTACAAATAACCAGACATTATTGGGCAAGTCCATTAATTGGTAGAAATTGTCCATTCTCATCTGTCCCTTTGTGTAAGAAAAACGGTGTATTGTAGTTTAGAGGTTAAATGTTTAATGGATTTCTGTGTAGAAGTAAAAATAAATTTATATCTTGGAAATAGGGTAGTTTCTTAAATAATTTTAGTTTAACGTCCGTCTTGTAGATTAATTTGAAACAATAAACAAGTATTTTTTCTTTTTAAATTAAATACTTTCGACGATATATTAGTTAATTTGACATATTATGTGACGTCACGACCTCCCACTCCTTTTACCTCCATTTTATCGACATATTGTAACTTTATACGACAAAATAAAAAATACGTGTCTAATATTTTATCATGAACTGACGGACTAATTAGATTTTTAATTTTCATACCCTGGCAACTACCCTATTGTTACTTGGGATGATAACTTTAATACTAATACTAACTGGTTCAAACTTAAACTTAAGATCTTGTGGTAGAGATTTTATTTTAACACAATATTTGTAATAGTCGTAATCAGGTTACTCGTTATTACATGCTCTTTATTAGTCTTTGCCTATCCCAATGGGAAACAGGCGTGAGGTTATGTATGCAGTATGTATGTATATGTATATATATCTGCTTACCCCACACATTAACAGTAATGAAAGAAGTGACTTTATCGACATGTAGAAATTATACAAATATTCCTAAATCTTAAATGCCATCGGTGACACTGGTGACTCATTAGCGGGGTCAGTAAGGGTCTGACACTCCTTTCCGCCTTATCCAGGCGGGAAAAGTCATTCGATGATTTTCTCCCGTTAAAAAAGAAGTCCTACAAACCGATGGTACCACAACCACGACCATACATCCCAAACCAACTAACCAGTAATAAGTCTAAGTACCAAACCCGAGCCTATCTGTCTACAAGCCCCAGTATATCATGTTAATAGCTTCAATAAAGAATGGCCGCCTCCTCCAATGCAGTTGGAACATTAATCCTCAGAATTTGGCATCAACTTTGTAAATTTTAATAGGACATATCTCAAAAGGGTTATTTTTATTTCAACTGTTTGGTTATTTCGTGGTGTATTTAAGTAGTTTGCTGTGAGATTCTCTGATGGGTTTTTGGGATGGATTTTAGAGTATTTGTGGTGGTGTTGTTTCTGTGTGTTGAACTTAAAATAGTCTGATATTTGTGTTTTGGAAATAATTTCTATAGTCTGGTTGTATAGTAAAATTTTTGGAGTAATCTATAGGGTTACGCTGGTTTGGACATGTAGAAAGGATGGATGAAGTAGAGTAACGAAAGAAGTATACAGGGCGCCCTAGACGGACATATAGTGTCGCGGAGAACCTAACGGGTAACCGGGGCTGCGGCTCGACGTGCAGGAGAAGGAACGGGGTGGTTTTTAGTCAGTAAGAGTCTGACACTCCCTCCCGCCTCACCCAGGTGGGAGCAATCATTCGATGACTTTCCCCCCTTAAAAAAAAGACGGACATATAGTGACCAGATTGGCGATATATTAAAGAAGGGCCAAATTAAAAGTACCTACCCTTAACCAATGAGCAAGCATGAAAAGTTGACTGTTGATGAAGCGAAAGAGGTATGTAGGAATCGTAGCAATTGGCGTTCCATAGTCTCTACCTACCCCCATGGGAGACAGGCATGAAGTTGTGTATGTATGTAGGGTTCAGAATTGCATCTGCGGAAAGCGTTCGGGTGCAATTTAATCCGTTTTTAGGTGTCTCAAAATTTTCTTAGTAATAGCACAAGTCTATAATTGTGCCTTATAATGTCCAATCAGCTCACCCTCAAATATTAGGTAATTCTCTTTCTGATTTCCTCTATCTCTAGTTAACATTTTGTTACTCATTAATCCGCTCTAAACTCACCATTTTTAAAATATAACAGCAACCAACAACGAGGTGAGTGTCGTTGTGGCCCGGAGGTTAAGTCTCGCTTCTCATACATGAGGGTTCGAAACCTACCAACGGCAAGTACCAATGTGACTTTTTCCGAGTTATGTATATGTACTTTCTAAGATTATTTAGACACCACTGACAAACGGTGAAGGAAAACATCATGAGGAAACCTGGGCTTATAATTTCTAATTAAAATAAGTTTGAAATCGCCAATCCGCATTGAGCAAGCATGGTGATTAATGCTCTTACCTTCTTCGTGTGAGAAGAGCCTTTGCTTAGCAGTGGGCACTTATAGGCTGTCTATGTATACTGTAAACACCTTAGTATTGCCACATCTAACAGCCAGGGTTGCCAGTCGCACAAATCCAAAAAATAAGATTTATTCGAACTATATATCAACAATTCTGCTTACCTCCAAAGATTACAAGCACGATAAATGTAATTTGCGTAACAGTCTGGACCTAGGTCTTGTTAAGACCTGTTTACCTAGACTTTGTGTAAACACTAGATGTGACGTCACAACAACCTTGGAGGGAAATTATAGTGATGGATCCGTACGTGCTTAATACGGAATGACAGATAAAGTATTGTAATTTGAACTTTACGAACAGGGTTTCAAAGTTGATTTTTGATTGATGGAAATTATGAATTCGGAAATGGATAGTATTGTGTATTTTTTGGAGGCATTGTGAACTTTAAGGTCATAGGTATTAGGTTGACTTATGATTGAGTAATCGGTCTGAAAGACGGATTACTTATAATTGAAAACATTTATTTTTGATTGATCTGAAATGGCCACGCAACGTAGTAATCAATGAGAATCGTTATTACATTTCTTTATGAATCAAATTTACTATTATTAAAAGACATAGTTTTTGACCGACTTCAAACAAAAGAAGGTTCTCACTTTGTCCTGTAAGTACATATTATGTATTTCTGTGCGCGATTATCTCGGGAATGGCTAAACTGATTTTGATGTGGCTTTCAGAAAGGTGTTGGTTACACTTAGGAGAAGGTTTTAGTATATTAATTAATCAACTTAAAAAAGAAAGGGGGTTGAAGTCGGTTTTTTAAATGAAGTCAGTTTTTAACTGCCTCGTTGGCTGAGTAGTCGCAATTGTGACTGCCGGGCCCCTTGTTTCGGGTTCGAATCCCGGGTCGGGCAAAGTATTACTAGGCTTTTTTTAAAAAATCTCAGTAGTTGCACAGAGTCTGGAATTGTGCCCGGTGTATGGCAATAGACTCACCCCCTATTACATGGGACTCATAACATAAATAGTGAAAAGTGAAGTGATGTTGTTGTATGTCAGTTTTAAAATATTTTTACGTAATCTCATTCTTGGACAACTTCATTAATTAACCATAAACAAAAGAACATGTTTCAAATGATCAAACCCAAAATGATTTCTAACCATCTTTATCCTAACCAATATCGATTGTATTCGAATATAATTCAGTCGTTTCCTAAGAAGCCTCATTTAAATATTGTAGCATAATATCGATCTGCTTGTTGTCTGTTTGAGGTGTTACGAAGTCAAGTAGTCTAAATACTGAATATAAAATGTTCTAGAATCTAGACTAATACATAATTCAGACTGAACTCAAATATTGTCTGTTATTGTGAATCCCATGTTATAAAGGGTGAGCCTTTTGATATATAAATGAGTTATTTAGGTTTTTTATTTACAAATAATAAACTTAAATAACTTAATTATGAATTAATATATACGAATGCCTCAGTGGCCGAGTGGTCGCAAGTGCGACTGCCGAGCAAGGGGCAAAGTATAACTGGGGTTTTTAAAAAAATCTCAGTAGTAGCATGGAGTCTGGAATTGTGCCCGGTATATTGCAATAAGCTCACCCCCTATTACATGGAACTCATAAAATAAATAGTGAAAAGTGGATGTTACATTGTACAGTGGCATAATGTGCACCTCTGCCTACCCCTTCGGGAGACCCCTTGTCCAGCAGTCGTACTTGCGACCACTCGGCCGACGAGGCGAGGAGATACAATTACTGCCTCACGCAGTCCCTACCGAAGTCCTAACTTAAGTATTAAGTAACAATAACCAAGTTATAGTGAAGTGTAGCTAAGTAGCAATTACTCATGTTTCCGGAAACGAGGTTTAAGGAAAACAAGCTATTATTATTTTAGGAAAGTGTGATTGTATGGTGTCGTCTGCCGCCCACACGTTTAACGTACACGTGTCGATATTTGTATTGTAACTTTCGACATACATGAGACATACTAAATAAATTATTATGTTTTCAGCTTACTCACTTCATAATTTGACGAGGAACTCGACTAGTTTCAAGCCATGCTAGAGGCTCATATTCACGAGCAACATTTCGCTACCCGCGACGTGAATAGATATGAATAGGGCCATCGGTAGAGGACGCCCTAGACGGACATATGGTGACCAGATTAGCGATATATTAAAGAAGGACCAAATTAAAAGTACCCTTAACCAACGAGCATGCATGAAAAGTTGACTGCTGATGAAGCGAAAGAGTCGTTGCAATTGACGTTCCATAGTCTCTGCCTACCTCCATGGGAGACAGACGTGAAGTTATGTGTCTGTATGTAGGGTTCAGTTGACACTTTTTTGCGAAAAGCTTTCGGGTGCAATTTAATTTGTTTGTTATGTGTCTCAAAATTTTCTTAGTAATAGCACAAGTCTCTAATGGTGTCTTATAATATTGTCCAATAATCTCACCCTCAATTATTATGGCCTCTAGCATGGCTTGACACTGGTCGAGTTCTTCGTCAAATTATTACGTGAGTAAGCCGAAAACATAATATTTTTTACGTGTTGTAAAACAGGGATTCGTTTTTATTGTTTTGAACATTTTTCTATGTTTCAAACGCCTGCTTCTTGTGAATGAGAGTACGGGTTTGACTTCTACCAACGGCAAGTACCAATGTGACTTTTTCCGAGTTATATGTACTTTCTAATTTTTTAGACACCGCTGACAAACGCCAAACGGTGTAGGAAAACATCGTGAGGAAACCTCGACTTATAATTTCTAATTAGGCTGTTGATGATGATTTTATTCATTTGAACTTTATATTACCTTGTTGGATGAGTGGTTTCAAGTGCGACTATAGAGCAAGAACTGCCAGATTTGATTCTCGTATCACCAAGAAAAGCCTTGAAGAAAAGGTTTCTTCTAGTGTTGTTCTATAGTTTATTGTCAGTCTATTGTTGACCACACATATTTTAACAAAACTACATTTAAGACTTTGACTGCCAATAAAAAACTGTTGAAGGTAAATCCTCCGCTAACGCCGGTCACCGGTGACCCCCATGGCGTTTAACGTGTTAATCATATTTTTCTTAGATACTTCAGTAAATTGAGTGAACGATTAAAATAAAACGACTTGTTACTTAATACCTAACATCCTGTACCTGGTACTTACGTGTAGGTTCTGAATGGTTTCATTTCAATTAACAAATGATCCATCAATCGTATACTAATCTAGATCCATAGAGTTCAGAGTTCAATGAACTTTAACTTTCTATAGCTATACCCAAATGTGTTCATGAAAATGATGTCCCATTGAACAGATAAGATGAAAAATAAATTAGGTTTAAAAAATCAGTTTACAATGTCCCAAGTCGAATTAAAATGTCACTTATTTAGTCATTTTCATTTTTCCTGAAAACATAACATCACGCCTTTTATGCCCTAAGGGGTAGGTAGAGATGCACATTACGGCACTTAATGCCACTGTACAATGTAACACCCACTTTTATGTTATGAGTCCCGTGTAATAGGGGGTGAGCCTATTGCCATATACCGGGCACATTCCCAGACTCCGTGCTACTAATGAGATTTTTAAATAACCCAGCAATACTTTGCCCGACCCGGGAATCGACCCCGATTCCCGTTGCCCGGTAGTCGCACTTGCGACCACTCGGCCAATGAGGCAGTCTGCTGGCTAAAAACTGCTCTGTATTTTTATAATTATTGACAATCTCCTTGTCAAGTCTCTTAAAGATAGCAATTTACTCAGCATCCAGAATGTCAAGTGGGAGTGTATTCCAGTCTCACTCTATGTACAGAGGAGTAGGAGTAGAAATCGGCATTATGGAGCACGATTTTAAAATTAGCTTATGTACAAGTGACGTCAATTGTAATATTGAATTTCAATCCCATTGCAACTTAACCATTCTCCTTTATAATTCCATTTCTCCTCCCCCAGCTGTATACCAGCTAAGGGAAAAGTTTCAGAGCGAATTACAAAGATATAACAACTTTATGAATGGCACAAATAATGGTGCACTTATTTTGACTTACTATGCTGGAAAAACCTTTATTTCTCCCTTTCCCCCTTCAGATAGTGAGCCTGATAAGGATGTCGTGCAAAAATTTTGACTGTGTCGTGTGCGTTTAAATGTTTGTAGAAGTTTTAAAATTGAATTGAATATTTGAGTTAAGGAATTGTTTTTGTCCAATAAAGTATATTAAAAATCATGCTAAGAAATCATACCTATTATCTTAATGTCTGTTGGAACTCGTATAGGTAGGTGGCATAAATAACATTACGTTAATTTTTCACCGAAAAATAGCATAGGTATATTACGCTCCAGTCTGATGGTAATTGCTATCCAGATATAAAAAATATTCCAAAAAAGATATTGTGCTACTACATTAAACTTTTATGTACAACAACGAACGGAGGATAAATAAACACAAATTCTTTTATAATCATTATTCAATGAAGATGAAATCATTAAAATACATACATACATACCATCACGCCTTTTATCCCCGAAGGGGTAGGCAAAGGTGCACATTATGCCACTGCACAATGTAACACCCACTTTTCACTATTGTATTTTAGGGGGTGAACCTATTGCCATATACCGGCCACTATTGGGTTGATGACAGGGTATGAAAATTAAAAATGTAATTAGTCCTTCAGTTAGGTAATGAAAAATACGTGTTCCTTACAATACCTAGATAAAACGTCATTTCTACATATAAAATGTACATAGAAGAGATGTCACGCGGCATCTCGAATCAATATACCGTCGAAAGTATTCGTATTTATAAGAAAATAAAAATACGTGTCTATTTATGTTACGATTTTCACTATTTATGTAATGAGTCCCATGTAATAGGGGGTGAGCCTATTGCCCTATACCGGGCACAATTACAGACTCCGTGCTACTACTGAGAATTTTTAAAAAACTCAGTAATATTTTGCCCGACCCAGGAATCGAACCCGAGACCTCTTGCCCGGCAGTCGCACTTGCGACCTCTCGGCCAACGAGGCAGTCATAAAAATCTATTTTTTATTTTTATAAAAATCATAATAAAATCTCCAACAACGTTAAGTCAGTAGAAGGTACCTCAATACAAAGTTAAACAAATAACATTAAAACTAAACTCTCCCCGCTTCATCCCCCCAACCTTCAAAGTCTGGGCAAACAGTGGTAACTTCACAATTAAACGAGACACAATAAACAAATATATACTCCATTATAACTGAAAGTAAAACAATCCATTATTTGACAAAACAATCAAACGTTTCGAGAATTTTATCATTTATTTGTATATAGAAACACGAGTTCCCAGCGACCTCAAAAGTTTCTTTGACAAAAATTATTTAGTTAACAAAATATTCGTTAAAATATATATTCTGTAGCTTCAATTGAGTACTTGCCAACTAGTCAAATACAATACTATTTTCGAACTGTCAAAAATGACAGTTTTCTATGAATTTTGTACGAGACTGTGTATTGTGACTTCACGTTTTTCTAGGGTGAATACAGCATACTTATTTCTTCAAAATTTGATGTAAAATACTAAAATTAAGTTGGTCATAAAATCAATTAATGAAAGTGCGATTATTTTTTAATATTTTATTGTATTGAATAGTCGAAATTATATTTTTGATGAAGGCAAGTACCCAATTCTGTTAAATATTTGGCGATACATGTCAAAGTGACAGCCGACGCACATAGACCATTGTTGAAAAACAAATCAACGGATGACATCACAAAATCCTACATCGCACATGTGAAGTTTGCATGCGAATTAACGCGGACAGAAAATTCTAACATAACACTGCTGGTCGGCGGATCCTTTTTCCGATCTTCGGGACTGTTCTACTACCCACTGTTCCTTAAAAGATTTTAGGTAGACTTATGCACTATCGACGCAAGTGAAGCTTAATGTCGAACAGCTTCATCATCGTCATCATCAATAGGCCGAAGACATCCACTGCTTGTCAAAGGACTCCCCCTTAGTCCTCCACGAACGTAAGAAACGTCCTTCATATCATGCCAAACCAATTAGAACATTTATAAAATTAAATATGAGCATTAATGACAAGACATATTGGCGATGTCAATCTCATACTTAATTAGAAATCACCTGCCTCATTAGCCAAGTGGTCACAAGTACGACTACGGGGCAAAGAGGTCTCAGGTTCGATTCCTGGGCCATAACATAATATAACTAGTGTAAAGTGGATGTTACATTGTACAGTGGCATTATGCCCTTCTGCTTATCCCATCGGGGATAAAAAGCGTGATGTTAAGTTATGTTAATTACAAATTATGAGTCCTAGTATCCTCACGATGTTTTACTTCACCGTATATCAGTTGTGTGGTCATCGTACCATACCTATCCAATCATCTGTAAAAAGACATTCCATTTGTTAATCTTCTATGAACATACACCGTGTTAAAACGTACCATCCCCCACAAAAAATTCCTCCCTAATCGAGAGAACATTTTTAAACCAAACCAAAGTTATCGAACTCTCATTGGCCCACTTCGCAGTCAAAACTTTCCACTCCATGAATAACGTCTAGAGTTCGATTCCCTTGCAGTGCACTGAGCTGATTCAACGTTATTGTGTTGTAAATCATATTATAGTTTTGTTCTTTTTGTATAGAGATATTTGTTAATGCAAGCAAGAGTTTGCTACAGTTGAGGTATTTTCCTAAAATTTTGAACGAATTTCGAGTTTGTGGTACATATCTAGTATTTAGATTTTGGTTGCTTTATATTGTATTGTTCTTCAGTTTTCTCTTTGAAATTTAAACAAGTTAGATGATGATATCAGTGGTAGAGCCATGCTTCGGCACGAATGGGCCGGCTCAACCGGAGTGATACCACAGCCTCACAGAAAACCGACGTGAAACTAAACTTGCGTGGTATTTCGTCGTGTGAGTGAGATTACCGGAGGCCCAATTACACCCCTCCTCCCCAATCTCCCCAATCCACGAATCCCCAATAATCCTCAAATTCCTAATCCCCACAAGGCCGGTAACGCACTTGTAACACCTCCGGTGTTACAAGTGCATTACCATGGCGTCCATGGGCGGTGGCGATTGCTTACCATCAGGTGATCCGTGTACTCAGTTACTGGCTTATTCCATTAAAAAAAGGTGACAATGACAGGATTACGAGTGAACAAAACTTGATGAAAAATTTGTCTCGACCTAAAAT